GACCAAGGAACACAAGTTCCCTTGGCCACCACAGCTCCCCTGTGATATATACTGGTGCTCTTGAGTGTGATAGAGAGTGTGAAGATGGCACTTCCCATCCTGTTGCTGGAGAGTGTACCAGCAGGCCTTTAGCTGTGTGTTAAATTAGATGCCTAACCATAATCTGATGCTTTAAGGTTAGCAAATGAGCCTCTTTCACATAAAGTCTTGGAGCCTCTCAATTGCCTGTTTCTGTGCTTTGTCCTAGGGTAGGTGAATCTGAGCATGTGAGCCTGTTAAGAGCCATTTCTTAGTTTTCGTGGACATCCCTGTTGGTTTTCAAAGTTAAATGTTTTGAGGGCTCATCGCTCAGGTGCAGGTCTTAAAAGCTGGAGTGCCGAATGTAGGGTTCAAACCCTTCACTACTCAGGGAGAAGCTTCGAATTTTCCGTTTTCTCCTGATTGTGTGTTGCTGTGCTAGAGTTGGGTTAATGGCAAGATTGTGTCTCTGCCTTTTCTACCCACCTTGATGTGTTTTTGTTCCCTCTCGTTTGCCCAACATCTTAATCACTCAACTAGTTTGTATTTTTTTTCCCCCAGAGGACACTGTAGCTGTAAATTTTGGTGTATCTGTGGAAACAGGTGAGTTCAGGATCTTCCTATGTCACTGTCTTGAATTAGAACCTCACTGAATAATGGGCTAAGAGTAACTTACAATTGTATAGCATTTGCTACTTTTCCATCACTCATTTGATCCTCAGTACTCTTGTAGGAAAAAACTACTAGCATTCTCATCTTGCAAATTAGAAAAGGTAGGTATAGAGAAGTAGATGGCTGGGAAACCCTATCCTGATGGGCAATCCAGGCTTCTGTCTCTCTCCCATTCCAGACTACTTACTTACATCATATTAATTAGAGGATGTGTCAGTCCCAAATTCCCAGGTGACAAGTAAAATTTTAATTGAATAAATACATTATTTCTACTTGGAAATCAGTATCTTATTTGCCCTTTCCAAACATAGCACCTGTGGTGACAGCTGTACTGAGATGACAGCTGGATATATATGTAATAGCCATCTGTATATATTACATACACACATACATAACAGAAATCTCTGAGAATAAGCATATAATTAGAGTATTTGCCTCTAGGAAGGGGACTTACATAGCTAGGGGTAGGAGCGGCTTACATATCATTGTAAGCCCTTTACTATTACTTGATTTTTTAAAAAACAAGTATGTTTTATCTTTTCAAAAATTAAATGATAGTGAAAGTAAGTTTAATTCTATGTCCTTAAGCCAAAGTTTCAGAGAAGTTCCTTAGACGGACTTTTTTTATATCTACGCTGACCCCAAACTTCATGGGAGACTTGGGCAGTATTTCACCTATTCTGAGCCATGAGCGAAGAAACAACCCTTAGAAATGAGGCAAAATCTTACCAATCATAAAATATTTCCATAAAATATGAAGTATAATAAAAAATGACTTTCATAAGACACTTATAATTTCACATTTAAAAAATACTGAGTTAGAGCCAGTGTTCAGTAATTTTGTTTGTGAGGACTGAAAAACTTCTCAGGGTTGCCACGATTCTTTTAAACTTTAAAGAATTCTTCTTTGTCTGTTAAAGTCTCTCCCTTTTTGTCATCTAAGTTGTTTTGCATTTATTAAAACATTAAAGACTGCTAAAAATTGTCCCTCACTGCCGATCAAAGATGCTCATGCCTGTCTTTATTAAGATGCTTTAGGGAAATGCAGGTCCAAGGATGGCAGCATAGGTGGATGCTGAACTCGCCCACTTCCAAGAACACACAGAATATACTCCATACACCTATATTCAGAGTAATTCCTTCTGAGACAACTGTGAGCCAATTGAACAGCTTCTGCACAACAAACATGAGAAGGACCACAGAGAAGTTTGGGGAACCATGAGAGCTCTCCTGGAGCTGAGGGAATAACCCAAGACCTGAGGAACCGGTGAGTGCTGAATGATAACCTTGCCAAATAGAATTTCCCAGAAACGCAAAAACTAAAGGAGTTCACAACCATTAAACAAGCCTTTGAAGAAGTGTTACAGGGTCTTCTTTATGCAGAAAAGGCCATAATCAGCAATAATAAGATACAAGGAAAAAAACCTCACTAGTAAAGGCAAAAATACAATAATCAGTGAATCAACCACTTAAAGAGCTAATATAAAAGACAATAGTAGCAAGATTATAACTAATCGGGAGATAAAGGAAAAAGATATAAAACATGATAAAAACAAAGAATGGAAGAGGAAGTAAAAATGTAGTGCTTTTAGAATGCGATTGAACTTAAATGCCTTCTAGCTAAAATAGACTGCTAAAGATGAGTATATATGAAATCATGGTAACCATACCCAAAAATATACAGAAATACACACACACACAAAAGGGAAAGGAATCTGATCAAAACACTAAAGAAAACCAACAAATCAAAAGGGAAGAGATCAAGAGGAACAGTGAAGAACAAAAACAACCAAAATATTAACAAAATGGCAATAAGCACATACCTATCAATAACTACTCTCAATTTTAATGGACTAAATACTCCAATCAAAAGACTCTGCATGACAGATTGGATAAAAAATACCATGACCCATCATATGCTGCCTTTTACAAGAGACTCACTTTAGATCAAGACACGTATACAGTTCAAAGTGAAGGAAAAAGATATTCCATGCAAATAGAAACAAGAAAGCTAGGGTAGCAATACTTATCAGACAAAATAAATTTCAAAAGAGAGTCAAAGAAGGATATTGAATAATTTTAAAGGGGTCAATCAGAAGAAGATATATCCATGAACTCAATATAGGAGCACCCAAGTATATAAAGCAAATGTTAATGAATATAAAGAAAGAACTTAACAGTAATGCTATAATAGTTGGGGACTTTAGATTATCCACACAGAAAATAGTGGTTTTAAATGTCACATGAGACCAGTTCAACTTGATATGACACTTATAGAGCATTTCATCTAAACACTGTAGATTACACATTGAATTTATTTCACGAAATTATATCAATGGCACGAAACTAGAAATCAACTACAGGAAGAAAACTAGAAAAAACAAATAAATAGAGGTTAAAACACGCTTCTAAGCAAACAATGGATCAAAGAGGAAATCAAAAACTACTTTGAGATAGATGAAAACACAAACTTAAAGAAATTTGTGGGATGCAGCAAAAGCGGTTATAAAAGGAAAGTTTATAGCGATCCATCTCAAGTGGCAGGAAAAACTCCAAATAAACAACCTAAATATACACCTAAAGAAATTAGAAAACAAGTAACAAAACCCAAAGAAAGCATAGGTAAGAAATAAATGAAATTGAAAGGAAAAATAAAATTGACAAGCATCTAGCAAGATCCATCAAACAAAAGAGAGAGAACACAAAATCAGAAATGAAAGAGATTACAACTGACACCACAGAAATACGAAAGATTATTAAAGAATACTATTAACAATTATATGCCAATAAATTAGACAATCTGAAAAAAAAGATGAATACATTTCTAGAAGCCTACAATGTTCCATCACTAAACCGGGAAAAACAGAGAATCTGAATAGATCAAATTATTAGCAATGAAATTGAAGCAGTAATGAAAAATCTCCAAACAAACAAAAGTCCAGGATCAGACAACCCCACAGGTGAATTCTATTAAACATTTAAAGGCAATTTAGTACCTATGCTTCTCTGTTTCAAAATACTGAACAGTTCCAAATTCATTCTACACATAATCCTACCAAAACCAGAAAAAGACATTGCAAAAAAAGGGAATTACAGGCCAATATGCCTGATGAACAGAGATGCCAAAATTCTTTACAAAACACTAGCAAACAATTCAACAGTACATTAAGTGGGATTTATATTAGGGATGCAAGGTTGGTTCAATATCCAGAAAACAATTATGTGATTTATTACATCAACAAAACCAAAGATAAATATGATTATCTCAATAGATACAGAAAAAGCATTTGACAAAATTCAACATCCATTTATGATAAAAACTTTCAACAAAGTAGGTATAGAGGGAACTTCCCTCAAATTGATAATAGCTATTTATATATATATTTTTTTGTCATAGCTCACAGCTAACATCATACTCAATGGGGAAAAGCTGAAAGCTTTGCCTCTAAGATCAGGAACAACACAAGGGTGACCACTCTTGCCATAGTAAGAGGACTTTTAAAGTCACTATAATGTAGAAAAATCTAGCAAACAGGTTTAAGAACAAATTCTAGAGCTCTGGATTATACTGGTAAGCCCTTAAGGTCTTCCAAGTCAGTTCAAGCTCCCTTCTAGGGATGCTGTAAGAATCAATAAGGTGCTTAATGATGTTTTGTCATCTAATCTTTTATCCTGTGATTGCTCTCCTTAGGAGTATAGCCTTAGAGTAATAACAACAACCATTCCAAAGAAGAATCATAATGGAAAATAGCAGAAATCAATGACATAAGAAGGCAAGTGAAAAAAAAAAATCTCTGTTTTAAAATGTAACACCCATCTCTATCTTCCCACACAGGATTTATATAAGTTCTAGAGACTGAGATGCTAAGAAACCATGTCAATTTTCAGAGTGAGAAACTACGGAGTTGATTGGCTTAATATTTTAAGAACCCAACATTAAATGAGATTATTGATCAAATTATAGGATAGTCAAAGGAAATAGTCCAGAACCACAGCAACACTTTTACTTTGTGTATAATTTTACTCTTAAAATAAAAACTGTTTTTTTGGATAAAAAGAAAAACTGATCTACAGACCTATTTAAAATTGCTTGTGAGTATATCCATCTTTTAAACCTAGCAGTCTTACATATAGAAATCTGACCAATAAGGTCAATGAATTAAGTTTGTGCTCATGTTTAAGTTCAAAGTATTACATTTATATATCATCCTAACTTGGGTTCTGCTTTACTCCTGTAACTTTGCTTGTGAATATTTTGTTCTGATTAAGTCTACTTTTTACCAGTAAAAAAAGAAAGAATCCAGTCTTACCATAATTAAGAGCTTCTGGTGCTGTCCATTTAATGGGAATCTGTTTTAAGCCAGAAGAAGAATACACTCCACCATCCTCTTGACGAGACATTCCAAAGTCACTGATTTTCAGAACATTATTTTCACTTACAAGGCAGTTTCTTGCAGCAAGATCCCTAGGTTAAAAGAAAACACAGAAAACATCCATTAAAACAAACTGAAAGCCGCTTTCACATTTATGACTTCCCCACTTTGCATTTTTACATTTGCAGTGTATTTATAATGAGGTTAAGAATGCTTGTGATTTACCAGTCTTTCCCATCTTTTCTGTCACAGGTAAAAATCATCCACAAGAACATTTGCGTATGGAAGAGGCCACATGCTAATTTCTAGGCACTACATATATTTCCATTTCAATAGAAAAACACTGATTCTAGGGTTAAGAAAAAATCAGAGAGGCTAGGTAAACTTGGCTTTTTTTTTTGACTGGCTTCCCTAGAGCAGAACTTTCTGTGATTATGGAATATTCTCTCTCTGTGCTGTGCAATAGGTAGCCATCAGCCATGTGTGACCATTGAACACTTGCAATGTGGCTAGTGTGATCAAGAAGCAGAATTTTTTATTTTATACTTTAGTTAAATTTAAATAGTTGCATGTCACTAGTAGCTACTGAGTAGCTTTTGGCAGTGCAGCCTAGAGCTTCCCGACACTTTTTCTACTGCACCCGGGTCAGGGTCTGCGTCTCTCTCCAACCTCATCTTACTTCACTATCTCCACAATTTGTTATATTGCAGACATACTGGGGTTCTTTTTGTCCCCAAATGTAGAAAAAGTCCCCTAAACTTAGCTTTTCCCTTTGCCTGGAGTGCTCTCCTAGACATTTGGATAGCTGGCTCCTCTTCCTTCATTCTTAGCTCAGATGCCCTCTCCTCAGAGAAGTCTACCCTGACCACCCTTATCGGATAGAGACAACAGTGAACAAAACAGACCAAGCCCCTCTTCTAATTCTAGTGGGAAAAACATTCGATAATCAAATTCAAATGCACACACACAGACTACGTGCTCTATGTGGAGAATGGACTGGCAGAACCAGATAGACCAGTTAGGAGAGGATTTCAGGAGTTGAGAAGAAGTGACCATAGCTGCACTAAGATAAAAGTGGTGAAGTTGTTCAGAAACTGTTAGATTCAGGATGTATTTTGAAAGTACAATCAATAAGATCTGCTGGTAAATTGAATGTGGAATAGGAGAAAAAAAAGAATCATGATGACCCCAATATATTTTGGCCAAACCACCTGGAAGAATGGAGGTGACATTTATTAAAATAGAGAAGACTAGGGAGAGGACCAGATTCAGAGTATGGCAGAGACAGCCAGTTGCCTCCTAATGTGCAATTCCTCCTCTTTTTAGTAAAATAATCCTGATTTTAGCTGAATATATTGCCATCTAGCTAAAAACTGCTATACTTCCCAAGCTCCCTTGCAGCTACATGTGGCCATAATCTAAATTCTAGCCAAAGGGTTGTAAGCCGAAGAGTTGTCTGGAATTTCTAGGAAGTTTCTTTAAAGGAAAGGGTAAGTATCACTATATTGGTCCCTTCTGCTAACACAAAAAAGAAGCATACCAAAGTTGGAAAAGCGTCGACGAGGAGCCTGAGACTGCCATATGTGTTCTAGACTGTTTATATCTGTACCTCTGGATTTTTTTTTTAATGTGTAAGAGAAATTTCTATGTCATTCAGGTGATTTGTTTCTTAGATTTTTTTTTTCTTGGCGTGTTGTTATATGCAGTTATAAGTAATCCAGTACTGTGGGGAGGGGTTCATTTTGGGTATACTGAGTTTGAGATGTTTATTAGATCTCCAAGTGGATATGTTGAGTAGGCAGTTGGGTACTTAGTCTGGAGATCAGAAGAGAGATCTAAGAGTTGTCAGCTTTCACATGGTATTTGAAGCTATGGGATTGGAGAATTGAGTGTAAAGAAGAAAAAAGGTGTTCAAGGATTAAGTCCTAGAGTACTCCATCGCTTAGAGGATTGAAGAAAGGCGACTGAGACGGAGCAGCAAGTGAGGCAGGAGGGAAACCAGAAGAGGGGTTGGTATCCTGGAATCCAAGTGAGGAAAGCTTATCAAGAAGGAATAGCAATCAACTCTGTCATTTGCTACTGAGAACACAAAAAGGATGAGGACTATGAACTGGCCGTTGGATTTGGCAACATAGATTTCAATGAGACACTGACAAGAGCAATTTCAGTGGAGTGGTGGGCACAAAAGCGTGATTAGAGTGTGTTCAAAGAGAATGAGGAAAAGTAGTGGAGAGAGTAAGCTGAGATACTCTTGAATAAAGTTGTTACAAAGAAGGACAGAGAAATGGAGAGGTAACTAGAAGGGGGTTTTAGGTCAAAGGAGTATTTCCCCTTAATATGGGGGCTATTACCTGTATACGTGCAGATGGTAATAATATTGTACATAGGGTAAAACTAACAGAGAAAGGTGACAATAGCAGATGTGGAACCCTGGAGAATGTAAGAAGTGATAGGAGTGGGATCCACCTGTGCTCTTCAGAGCTGTATTGCCAATGCCTAGAATAGTACTTGACACATAGTAGGTGCTCAATGAACACTCGTTGAATGACTATATACATACTATCTTATCCTAAGACTGATCCCTGTCTATTCTATGCTTTTTCCTTTTTAATTCTTTTTTTTTTTCCTGAGGAATAATCAACAACTAGTTTCTCTTTCTCCTGATATAGTTTTATATATTTATCTTTGGAATGCATCTCTAAATATCAAACATGACTCAAGAGTTCCAAAAATTAGTGTAATTTATGTGACTGGTCTTGTAACATAGGAAGTACCTTGAGTGACTGACTTATATCAACAGTTGACTAGTGATGCTGGTACTTCCTAAGGGTGTAAATTACCTTGGAATTGTTGAATATAATTGATAATCAGAGAAATAACATTTTTATATTCCCTAACTTGGGTGGTAGTACCTAAAGTTTAGAAAGGAATGTGAAATTTTCTGCCTTATTAATTTTTTAAGATTCACTTTGTTCATCAGATCAAGTTTCATACTGGAGAATCTCAGCAGAAGCCCAGTCTATAGATGTACCATGAGCACCTACTGGAAGAGTGAGAGTCTCTGGTTTGTTGCTTAGACAAAGTGAGTGACAGTGATGCTGGTTCATTTATCTTCTTAATCTATAGGGAGGAACTATCATATTGGCTAAGGACTCTAAGTCCTACTTATGGCATAGCTGGCCAGAAAAAATCCTAGTTCTGCCCCCTATCATTTGTGTGCCTTGGTGTATTTTATTCATCTAAAAAAATACAATCTAGCAGGGCTAAATGAGCTTAAGTTTATGAAGTGCTAACATACAATATGTGGCTAAAAATAAGTTGAACTATCACCGCTGTATTATTTCTATTGTTTATATATTACTACTGTAACTACAACTACAAGAGATCCTTGAATAGCATGTCCAAATCACTTTTCAAAATAAATTTCTAAGAGTATGGCATGATCACAAAGGAAAAGGGGCTGGCACCTGGAAACTCAAGGCTACAAAGAGGTAGGTTTGTAAAACATGCTTCAAAGATGCATATTTACATGTTGACAACTTCATAAAGTTATACCGAATTATCTGAATGCTCACGGTTTCCACATTATTCCCTTGAATTACTAGTAGAATAAAAATCTTAAGGTCTTCATCTCTGTTGAGATGGGTTCATTTGTCTCTGGAGATAATTTCTCTACATGGTAGACATGTAAAACTTTCAGTAGATTATTTCCTTTCTATTACTTTGTTGTATTTCATCGCTGCCCAAATCCAGGTCCAAATCCAGTGATTGTTGACATTTGACTAATAATTAAACTGTATGGTATTTTGGGGAGTTAAATTTACTCACCTGCCTTCACTCCTTATTCTCATCTCCCAGGATGGGAGACAAAAACACTATTTAATATCTTTCTGAAAGAGTTATTAAACATTAAATCTATTATTAGTAAATCAATAAAAGTGATCTGTTAGAGGAATTTTTGAGAATTTTTGGGTATGTTTTACTTAGATAAGTAGATCTAATTAATGTTACATACATATATGTGTGTGTGTGTGTGTGTGTATTTATTTATTTTTTTAAGAGGACAAGCAATATGGTATATTGCTTAAGTTCTGGATCCAGATTATCTATCTTCAAAATCTACCTTCTGAGATTCCTATCCTGACATGGCAAATTAACCCCATAATCCATTCCTCCTGATGATTATAACTAAAATCTCTAGATGAAATACCAAAAATAATTCCTTAAAAATTCCTGAAAAGAAAGAAACAGGTAGATTCTAGAGGACAAAGGCAACTACATGGGAATGAGTTTTCTGTTTTGTAGTTTCCCCCCTCATTTATCTTACAGCTTTTCCCTGAATGTGGATTTCAGTTACAGAGTAATACAGGGAGGCAGCACCAGTGTCTGAAACTTCAACAGAAACCACATCTCTCTGCCCCAAGAAACCAGGAAGAGAGGTCTTTGTGAGCCACAGAGTGTGGAGAAAGAGTGGAGAAGAACACCTGGGTCAGTGTTTGAATCTCAGTGTAAGCCCTGAGCTACACGTAGAGGGGCAGACCCAAACCTACTTAGAGAACTGAACTCATTTTTAGAACTCTGCCCATGTCTCAGAATAACCCCCTATCACACACATCACAAACCCAGGCTTTGAGAAATTAAATGTGGTTTGAATTTGTCTATCACTGTGAGGTAGAATTTATGGTCTGAACCTAACTGGGTTGATTGCCTGCTAAAACAAAAAGCAATCTCTGGAGGAATATTAACAGGGACTTAGAGCCTTAACAACATAACATTCACACCATCAAGGACACAATTCAAAAATCCTAAATATATAAAGAACAAGAAAAATGTGATCAGTTCTAAAAAGAAAATCAACAAATGCCAACACCATGATAACCAGACATAAAGCAGCTATTATAACTGTACTCCATGAAATAAAGGAACACACACTTGAAGTAAATGGAAAAGTAGACATCTTCAGTAGAGAAATAGAAAAAGAACATTATATAAATGTTAAAACTTTAATATGAAATTTAAAAAAAATCACATAGGCTCAATATCATATTGGTAATAACAGAGGAAGGACTCAGTAAACTTGAAGATAAATCAT